CCTCCCTCCCTCCCTCTCTCCCCCTGCCTCTCTCTCTTTTTGTGCATGTGTTTGGAGAGGTGCGTGTGTGCATCTCTCTTTTTCTCATTTTGACTATTTTTTGCAGCACAAATGGGACCTCGGAACGCTGGTGTGTTATTCATTATTCTGTTTACAGGTTCTGGTGAATGCTTCCAGATTGGGGGTCTATTAGTGTAGTTCCTTCAATTATATATACTTTAAAGTACAGAAGTATTGGGCAATTAAGAGCGTAATAGCCATGATTTTCTTCTTTTCATTCTTCTTTGTTCTAACCAGGCCTGCTAGGCCTTGCTGACTTAATATTCTTGAGAATGTTATGTGGATTTCGCAAATGCTTTGATTGGTGGTGAGGCTCTCAATGTAATGATTGCTCCCATTCTTATGTTCTCCATTCTTTATGACATCTCATACCTATTGAAGACTAGGAATGAGCAATGAAGCAGTATGTTAGAAAATTTTGAAATTGTACTAAAAATGCGTGCTTCCCAGAAGAGTTCCCATAAAGAGTTATCTTATTTGTCAGTGAAATGCTCTTTCTGTATTGTGTTCTTTGTAAATAGAATCATCATCATTTGCAGGATTTAGACTTTTTAGTCAGTTCCAGCTCCTAGAGTTCTTCCCATGTTTTTTGACCCCATTCTCATTAGTCAATTCAGTCATCCTGGTTATTCTTGAGAAATTCTTAATATATGTTGTGTTTTTTATCATATTTATACTCTTTACTTCACTTTTAATGTGGTCAAAAAGGGTGTTTTCAGATACATTTCCAAAAAATTTTGTTGATTCTATTCTTCTCGTTTGATCTTCAGTTAGTGTCCAGCATGCCCTTCCATATATAAAGAAGGAATAGTCTGTAGTTTTATTGTCTTTACTAACTTTGTCCTTGTACACTTATGTGATCATACCACAAAGATATGTTTCTATTTAACTTTAGATCTAGCTTACCATATTGTGTATAATTTTTTATATCCTAGGTAGTGGAATCTGTTAAGGCAAATGTACAAAA